CCCCCCCCCCTCCGCCCCCTTGGAATTGACTTTTCAATACAGACCCCCCCCTCTAAATTCAATTCTCTCCTGGAGAACGTCTTCGTGAGCCTCTCATGATTTCAGGATAGTTGAAACCCTCTTGAACATTTAGAAAGAGTGCATATGAAATTCTAATCACGAAAGGTGTTCCCCGAGGGGATACATACCTAGAGTTTGTTTTGTGAAGCACGTCAATTCTCTCCTGGGGAGCGTCTTCGTGAGCTTCTTTTGGTTTCAGGATAGTTCAAATCCTATGATGCTCCGATTCAATGCTCACCGATGATCTGATCCATGGGGCAAGTTTGTTTTCCTAAGAATCTTTTTGAACATTTCCAGAGCATTTGTTTGAACAATTAGAGTGCATATGAACATATATTTACGATTTACGAAAGGTCGCCTCCGAGGGGATAAATCACCATGTCGAACATTGCATTTTTGTTCCTGCCTCTCGCGTTCCCTTCTCTTCCCGCTGTCCTACCTTTCGTGTCTCCCTCCTCTCAAGTTGATTAAGGGTGGGGGGGGCCTCCCCCCACCAGACGGACACGACATCACAAACATCATCCCAGAGGAATTTTAAGGTGTTCCCAGATTCGTCGTTGTCATCGCTTTCGTTCCCCGCCTCTCAAGGAAGTAAGGAAGTAAGCAAGTAAGTGTGTAAGTAAGTAAGTAAGTATGTAAGTAATGTAAGTGAGGTAAGTAAGGTAAGTAAGTAAGCAAGTAAGAAAGTAAGTAAGTAAGCAAGTAAGAAAGGTAAGTCAGAAAAAAAAGTAAGAAAAATAAGTAAGAAAAGTAGGTAAGAAAAGTAAGTAAGTAAGTATGTAAGTAAGCAAGTATGTATGCATGCATGTATGTATGTATGTATGTATGTATGTATGTATTCTTGGCACTTCTTGGGCCTGGGGGTTACTCAGGAATAGAGCAATGTTCAGCAACTACTGTGCGTTCAGCGATTAGGTTTCAGCAGCTATTTTGGTTGGTTTCAGCAACAGCGGTTTAGCAACTCCCTGCGTTCAGCAACTGCGGTTCAGCAACTGGATTTGTCGGTTTCAGGAACTGAACTGGTTTTGTCGGTTTCAGCTACTGATGGGAGGGTGGGGCCGTGGATAACGAATGATAATGACGTCCGTTGCGAGTTGTTGAAATCCACTTTTCCAGTTTCCGAAACCCTGTTTCCGAACCCCACGTTTGAGTTTCTGTCCGCAGTTGCCGAACCTCACGCCTGCAGTTGCTGAACCGCAGTTTCCGAACATAATTGGCGAGTTGCCGAAACCCACTTTTCCAGTTTCCGAAACCCAATTTCCGAAACCCACCTTTGAGTTTCTGCACTAAAAAGTTGGTTTCGAAAACCAACCATTTAGTTTCCGAGCACCACGCTGACCGGTTACTCCGAGTGAAGCACAGTATATGCGTGAGTACCACTACAATGACGAAAAAACTGCCGCCGCCTCCGCTGCCACCATTCCGAGTGCTGCTGCTGCTGCTGCTGCTGGCACCATCGCTCCAACAAAATCAGCAACAACAACAACAACAGGCGCATGACCTTCTCGGTTCCTGGGGGCGTGCTGGGTCTGGCCAGACCACGGCTATGTTCCGGCACTCGGGCAAGCTTGGTGGGCACAGCGAGTGTTGTTTGTTCCCCGGGCTGTGAACCCTGATACGTTCGCAGTTGACAGGCCATTCGCGAAAGAGATGCCGACGCTTACGAGAAACAGTTGGCCTCTGCGAAATCGGGGAACCTCCTGAGTGTAGAAACACTGCGCCTCGGCCTTTTAGTCTTTTTGTAAGGGATGGAGCTGAGTTCAGCATGCTCTTAAATGCTACTGGTGAGCTGTTGAATTGGCAAGTGAGACACACTCATGCTTTGAAGGCAGCATTTTGCAGTTTGCACCTTAAAAGCACTGGAGGATACTCATGCCCTGTAGATACTCTGTAACCGTTGCTGCTCGTTCAAGAACAGTCGTGGACTCCCTGATTTGGATTTGAATTTACTGTAAATGCACTCTAGACGCTAGACATTGCAGATCTTTGTAGGATCTCTTGATCGTGGTCAAATATAGACAATTGCTTCGTGAAACATCACCTAGTAAATACTCAAGCTTCCGTTCAAACCATTTTCTCAGTCGACTATCGTCAAACGAGGCAAAGTCTTGAAGTTCGATGGGCAGATGTCCTCAAGGCCGCCGAGGCCAGGGTACACTCTGTCAAGTCCATCATGCCTTTGCACAGACTAGGCAATGAAGCGCCTGACTAAGGCGACTAGGCAACATGTCCTTTTCATTGGCCTCCACATTCTGCAACCTTCCAAACCCTCCTCTCGTATCTCGTTCGAGGCTGAGTTGCAAACGCTGGTGGAGAATTGCATCGTCTCCGACCTGGACCAGGCGTTGCTTGCTGGGGCCTTGGCACTTTGCAGGGAAGGTTTTTCGCTTCCTTCGTAGCTTTGTCACTGTGGGTCGTCGCTCGTCACACTCCCAGGTTCTTCCAAAGATTCGCAAGGAGCTTCAAAGCTCAATGCTGCCAAAGAGCTCAATATGGTTCCAGGCACACTAAGTAGGAATCACCCAACACATTGCTGGTGTTGTCCTCGTGATTGCATGGCTCGTGCATTAGTCCAGCATCACGAAGCTTTGTTAGTCCAGCTCCCATTGACATTGGCCTATAATAAAGATACTTTTCAATGTGCCCAACTACAATCTGCAGTCAGGAACGCAATAACAAAATACTCGACTCCTTTGAACATTGCCCACACAAGCAGCATTTACCATGCTCACCCGCGGTTGAAGGTTGATCTAGGTTTGCCGCCTGTAGAATGCATGTGGAGCAGTTGTCGCTATCACTCGTCGTGCTGCGTGTCAGGTTGCCGACGAACTGCAAGGCACCTTGGAGGCCTCTCTGTGGTGTGGGGATTGCAAGCAGTCAAGAAGACATTGTTTGTGCTGTTTCTTAGTCTTAGTCAAAAAGTCAGCCTGGCAAGATAGAATGTTCTCGCTGTTGATCAATTTCCCATAATGTTTGAATATTTCAGTTCAGTTCCTTGCACCGAGTGACTGGCATTCTTTGGATACTTGTATGTGGCACATGGTAGATTCTTTTTGAAGACAAACTAGGCGGGATTCAGATGAGTAGTCTCCACCACGATTCTTGTTACTACACTTGCCCCCGATGCTGCTCAACGATGCTCTTGGAATAGATCCGCTCAAGCCAGGAGTTCAAACCACAAATTAACAACTACTCGGCGGTAGCATTGGGTGGCGGGAGTCGGGTTTTGAAAGCCCTCAGGCTTTCCAGGAGCTGCAATATGCCGCAGCTGCATTTGAGCCACTCAGACATCGGTTTCAGATTTGGCGTTGTTCACAGCCGTTGGAAGCAGAATTTCTTTTGAGATTCAAGAAAGACATTCTTTGTAAAGAAAACATATTAGGTGCCTCTTTTATCCTCTTTTATATCTTTTTTGTATACTGTACTTGTTTGCGAAGACAAGCCCGTGCTTGCAGTGAAAGTTCCTTTCACCTGGCTCCACCAAGGAGTTCATCAAGCAGCTCAGTCAAGCCAGGCTGTGCTCGCACGAGGTCATGACATATCATATCGTGACCGTGAGGCTTTGGTTTGACGACAGAGTCATACACTGGTCATAAGCTACACAGCTGCATCTTCCATTATTGAGACCGAAGAATGGGTTTCGGACGTGAACAAGAGCTGACAGTTGGCTAAAGAATAGCGTGCGCCCCCGCATCAAAGCAAGCTCAACACATTGTGCAAGGTGATTCACAGAAGCTGTTTGAGGAGATTGCCAGCTGTTTGAGTCGATGGTAGTACAGTGGTACAGGTTGAACCATTTTGGCAAGCCACAGGTGTTTTGTCATCTCTGAGGCTTACGTAGCTTTACAGTAAGTTTTAAGGTAGAAGAGGAAGAGAGAGTGAGTGAGAGAGAGAGAGAGACACGGCGCTCTGAAATCTTTCTGCTCAGAAATTCAACACCTTGATCAAAAACTTTGTTGAGCCTTCACCCGCAGGACCTTGAGATTGCAGAAAAGCATGTGCAAGACTTTGAGCTTGCACTATCAAGAACCAAAAAAACAGACTCATGTGAAGCACTCAGCTTTCTCTTGGGAACAAGCTAGAATGTGCACCATCACCTTGCAGCCTAGCCAGCGACATCTCATTTAGGCCTTTGGGCTCTTAAACACACACCCGCACACAGGCTATGTGCGGTTAGTAGAATATAGTGCTCAGGGGCTTAGGGGACATCCCCTTCTTTGATTTGGGCAGTCCCCGCATGTTCGCTTGAATGCAAGCCTTGACGGTCAGTTTGTTCAGTCCTTCTAAGGCATCCTTGTGGATTCAACAGCCGCTTGTTCCTCAGAGAGGGAGTTTCTCCAGAGTCAAACTCGCGGGTAGAATCTACATTCACTTATGTAACCTCAAACAACTTCGGCTGGAGCAAATTGTTCCATGAGCCATGAATGTCTCTCTCACAAGCCTCGGCAAGGCCAGTGCGAAAGCCATTTCAGCCGCTTCTCCAGCGCTGTAGGCAAATCCAGCAAGATAGCAGTAACGACAAGGATTTCGAGCAGGCCTGGCTGGATCTGGCTAGCTAGCTTAGTGGCTAGTGGCTAGTGGCAATTTTTTTGTATGTGTGTTTTCTTGATCAGTTTGTTGCTTAACCAACTGGCCATGGGCTTGACTGATTTCCACTTACCCTTACCCAACCAAGTGAGCTTGCGTCTACGTCGGCATGCGGTAAGCATTCAATGCCCCCGCCAGGTGTTGAAGGCAGTTCCGTGGATGAAAGGTAAGTGGGGCACCCAATGGCTGCTGTTTCGAACAGGGAGGCCCGAATAGCAAGACCTCCACTGGCCCAATGAGTTTTGGTCTATCTTTCGTCTTTGGGGGTCTCCTCCCTATTCTAAATGTTACGTTCTTTATTGGTTCGTTCTTTTTTCAAGCTCGAGTTGCCCTCACCCTCACTTAATTAAGTAGGCGCCTACTTAATGAAGTAAGGGCTAAGTAAGCTACTACCTACTGGGCGCAGGACAGCTCACTCTTCTTCAAGGAAGTCCCCCCGCTTCCTTAAAGAAGCGTTCGCAACAAATAATTGGGTTCCTAGAATGTCCTAGATTATACCAAGACCACACACAAACTTGAGGTACCGTTAAGACCTTGCTTTTTGAGTCCCCTAAGGCGGCTCTTTGCAGGCATCACCTCAGATGAGCGAGACAGACTCGAGGCACAGAACGAACCCGTCTCAGGCGGTCGAACGAATGGCCGTCGGTTTGAGTCCCAATTCTCCAGGCAGCAGCGGAAGCTGCAACTGAAGCATGCCGAAAGAGGCCAGCGGGAGATTTGGCTGGATTCCGAAGTGATGCATGTTCGTGGGAGACTGTAGACAACATGAGATTGGATCTTGGCAGGTGTTGACTCACTGTCTATCAAGCGCCAACCTCACCTTTCCAAGCAAGTAATATTCTAGACTACTGTCAATATCTTTAGCATCACAACTACAGCCACTACAGTATGCATGCGCACACACACTTCGATAGAGTTCATCCGAGTGAGAATCCACGAGTGCAAGTCACTTGACTGGTTGTGTGGTGCAGAACTGTAAGGTGAAGAGTCCGTTTACTTGAAGGTGTTTTAATAATGGCTGTCAGTGGCTCTGAACACATGCGCGAGAATTGATCGGCCGCGCAGCAGCAGGGTGGACCAGTGGAGTCAGTGTGTTGTCGAGCAGTACAGGAAGGTGATCACACACACACATAGCCGTATCGGTGCTCCCTTGACAGAAAAATTAACCTGATTCCGAAACAGCCTCTAGCAACGAAGGAAAGACCTAGAAAGAGAAACAACGAAGGAGAGAAAGCAAGACCGTGCATGAATTACTCGGAGTGAAACTTCCAGGTGAATACATTAGCCGCATGACATGAAAAACATGATTTACGCATAAAAAACCTCTAGCAACGAAAGAAGATCGAGAAAACGAAGAGAAGCAGCAAGAAAGAACACAAGACATCATCAAAGTGAATGCACTAGCCGCCGGGTGAAACGTACAAGTGATTGCATTAGCAGCGTGGCATGTCATTCTTTGAGTATTTCTCAGTGAGCCCTGCGGCAAACAAGCTGCAATCTCACGCACAGACGAAGATTCAGGAGGAGTCATGCAATACTGCAAAACTGAGGAACCTGTGAGAATCCCCCTTGAGGGTCTATGCTCAAAGCGCCCGGAAGGATCACACAGCACACCTCTTTGGGACGATGCAGCGGAGCACACTTAGATCCATGCTCGCAAGAGCTATCAGTTTTGAACTCCCGTGCGTTAGCCTTTAGATGAATACTTAGCGCTTGACTTGCAGAACTGCAAGAGTGAAGAGTCGGCTCAACAGACGGCTTCAACAAGGACTCATTAGTCACGGTCTTCGTTGGTTCTGGCGTGAAAGTGGACCCAGAGCCCCCTGCTTGCCTGTACAACGTTAAAGAACCAAAAAGGTTTGGGTTAATGTGGTCGTGGTTGACGCACACACACGCACACTGTGTATCGCGCGGCATGAGACGATGCTCCATCAACCGATAAAAGACTATACTTCTCCTGGCAATCATTGTGGGAAGACCTTGGCAACTCTGCGTAGAGTTCGATGATGCAATGGCCTCTTGAAATAGAAAAATCCAATCCGATCGTGGATTTATTTTGGGCTGTCCGCCCTACATGTATGGGACCGTTTGTATAGAATAGTGTGCGTGTTTCAACACCTGTTGGAGGTTGTTTGACACATGTTCATATGATTTCAGATGATGCATTTTCATGCATCGCTAGTAGGGTGGAGGATTATGCATCTTCCAGCTTTCGAGTGCAGATCAGCTGAGTTTTCTTCCAGGAACTCTGGAGCGCTCGAAGAAGCCTTGTCACTCGCCGGAGTAGCCGAGCGCCTGCGTGGTGCAATGAAAGGTGAGCCTTGTGAACCACTGGTCACAACGCCTTTGGGCGTCCTTCGGGTCTTCACTGGCTGCAATTGCAGGTAAGGACGAGGTGCTGTTGCAGGAGATTCTGAAAGAAGCCAAGGAGTATGGCTTTGAGCTGAGTGAAGCCATGAGTGTTGGGCCATGTGAGTGTTGGGCCATGTCGCTGGCTAAGATGCATGACTATCTGTGCCACTGAGGCTTCAGTGGCCTGGACTCGATTGAGCAAACATGCTACGATCTACGGACAGCCAAGCCATGACCCTGGGGGGTTGTGAGTGGGTGCAGCAGCAACCAGCCACCAACTTGCAGAAACACAACTCTTGACCTTCAATCAGAACTAGACTGTAGTTCAAAAGTGTTTTGTACTATTGTACAGGCAGTATTTGCTTTGCATATTTCAGGACGTGCAACACCTTTCCTTCTTACCCGACAGCAATTTTCTATATCCACCTGACCAAACCTGATTGATACGTGGCTCATGACACTGTGCGCATGGACTTGAGCAAGGCTTTCCGAATCAAGGGAGTCTGCATATGAAGCCTTATACTACGTTCTCATGATATTCACTGTGACATGGCCGAAACGGCATCCATACCAAAATCAGGGCTGCAGAAACGATTTGGAGTTTGTCGATGGCAAGAGCTCAGCGATCGCGATTTCAGCGCAACAGAGTCATACACGCTTTGGGCTGCCTTTGTGAGTCAGCACTGTTTGATTGTCTCACTATTCCTGCACCAAGTGCGAAGTTGATTTGCTTTGCATAGCCCTGGCATGTATACTGACTACAAAACGGACGTACGTATTGTTTGCGTGGACAACGTGCTTGAGAGCTGTGCAGTATGAACAAAGATGGCAAAGGCATACTCTTGCCACCACGCAAGGTTGAATTTGAGGAGCGAACTGTCCCAAAAAGCAGCGACCCCAGTCACAGCATCAAAGCAGAAAGCCTGGAATGGCAGCCTGGCCATGCAAGTGCTAGCTGTGCTAGCTGACCTTGATGCATTTGCAGGGTTTGGTGGTGTGAACATGTATGAACCATTGCACCAGGTGTTTTCGCTGGACCTTGCGGCATTTGAGCTGTGTGCTCGCCGCAGTTCAGAAGTTGGCCTTTGCTTGTTGCCTGGAGGCATTCAACATCATTCAACCCTTTGTCACATCGGCTCCTGGAGGTATTTAATTATCACACTCCTCGAACAGATGCAGACCCAACTCTAACATTGCCAGCTAACTGCAGAGTTTTACTACTCGACGTTGGGGGCTTTTGGCATGAAGTGGAATAGACCTCCTTGAATTTTGTACATCGGTTAAGGCCTAACGAAGAGATGCAAGAACTCCGGGAGGAGCTGCTGAGTTCAATTCAGAAGGACCCAAGCTCATGTGCAGCGGGAAGAATGCGAAATGTACGCTTCCGCCGATGCGTTCAAAAGAGTTTGGAGGGCATGTGTAACTTGCGGCAGATGTAGAACTTGCGGAGGAGGAGGAAGAAGTCCAGGAGCTGCCAGCGGCATAGTTTGTAATATGCAAAGTAGAAGAGCGGAATGCTGGGCGTTTGAGCCGAGCATTTGACTGGCTTGATTGAGCTTCACATATTCCTCTGCTGACCGTCTCTCATCCTCCATGTTACTCAGGATGACATCGACAGTGGAGTTGGCGGACACAGCTTTGAGGGACCTGTTGACAAAGTGCATGACAAAGTGCAGGTTGGCGTCCTCAGATTTGTCATGACAAAGCTCCTGGACCAGCATGTGCAATGCACATGTGGTGTGACCTGTTTGCTTTGACACGATATGTTGGACAAAACAGGCATTCTGGTAAAGCCAGTTTGCAGGATAAGCTGTTCATTACACCCGCCTGATATACTTAGGCTTTGCAGTTCCTTCAGACATGATACGACAACGTAGAATCTTTGCCACGTCATGTCATGTCCTTTTTTACACTTGGTTTTTGATAGTTCATTTTGAGCCGTGATTGATTTTGTGCTGCCCAGGTTGAGAGAGACCAACCCGTGGCGAAGAGTTGCAGAAGATTCTCTAAGAGCTTGCGAAGCAGGAGAAGACATAAGTCATGGCCTCAAAGAGCATCAAACATCCATTTGAGCAAATTGTTTCTATTGTCATGTAAAGGATTGTAAAGGTTTGTATGAATGTATGAAAGTGGAACTGCACCATAGCCGCAAAGGCAAATCTCACAGTTTTGTGCATGTGCGAAGGCGTGTGAGGCCACATCGCGTAGGCCCCACAATTATTCATCGCGAGGGCAACTTGCGCATAAAAACACCTTTTGTAGTGTAATTGATTTTTCTTGGAGTGATGAGTGTTCTTTGCAGTTGTGGATACATGTTTCATCTCTTCCAGAACACGTGTTTTTTCTTATCCCTGGAGGGAAGGAAGTGTGGAAAGCCAAAAGGGTTCGCGACTGCGTATCGCGAAGGCACCACACAGTATACCAGTTTAGACGGGAGGGTATGCTTCCTCTGCCGCGAATCGTGTGAACAGCCAGACGGGCCTTGGTGCCTTACACTTGTAGTAGAGTATGTACGCTGTGAATGCCGTGTTCTGAAGACACCTAAGTAACCAAAGGCCTAAGAACTGCAGCGGGGTCGGACCAATCACGGCAACGAAGAGTCGAGTCGATCGAGAATCGCGTGGATTTGCCCATTGCAGAACATTTGCGGGAATTTGCCGACCTCCGAAACCTCACCAGGCTTAGAACTACAGTAGGGTGCGACTACTCAGCATCACAGCCAAGCAGGCACGTTGACGCTGCGTCCCGGATGCCATAGGCCCGCTTCTGGAAAAACCCTTGCAGAATTGGTATGTGGGACCTTGAAAAGGCCTTCGACAGCTCACCCACAGATGGCACTGATGGTTCTCAAGCACTTGGGTATGGACCCCAAGGTGGCCACTTTATTGCAGGATGTTTGGGGCAACCAGCGCTGCTTATTGCAGTACAGGGGCGAGACCCTGGATGAAGGAATGACAGTGACGGCTTCACTGCCACAAGGGGACAGCTCGAGCACGTTGGCTTTGACAGGTCTGTTGATCCCGGCCTTTCGAGCCATCAATACAGAGCATGCGGGGACCACTCAGGTCGTCTCTGCAGACGATCGCTCGATTCAGCTTCAAGACCATTTTGGGGATCAATGGGCTGCGCCTATAGGGTTAAAAGAGAACCAACAGAAAGCTCAGCTCTTCAGCTCTTCCACCAGCAGAAGCAGGGCCGTTCTCAGCTGATGGACACAAGCCTGGCACTGGTCTTCAGAAAAGAAAGGCTGACCCAGCGGAGAAACAAAGGCTCATGACGTTGAAATGGAAGATGGCTCGTGTGAGATGTCTTCCTGCCACCTTGAAACGAAAAGCAAGATTAGCTCGATATGCTGTGATTCCGAAAGCAGCCTGGGATGGCTCTTCAGGAGACCGACGCATGCAATTTCAAGCATGCTTCACGGTGACTACTATTGTTCACAGACTGGTGTCGCGTCGTGTTGCTCGCTTGCCTGACCGGCCCATCACAAAGACAAGCTGGCAAGGTGCACTGTGACAAGGCATGGCAAACTTGGGTTGGCGTGAGCAATCTTCCTGGACATGGACACATGTGGGCTTGCAAGAAACTCTCAGCCTTCGCTCCGACAATGCAAATTGGCGTGTTGACCTTCAAGAAGTACGGCGCATGTTGAGGGAGTCGTGGCGACGCACCTGTTTCGGAAAGTGGCTTCGCCAAAGCCCCCGGGATAGCAGAGAGTGTTCTGGAATCGCATACAACTCCCGGGCTGTGACCACTGGAGCACAGGTGAGCCCGGCAGCTTTGCACCGTATGAAGCCTTCCACGAGCCTCACATGCCCATGGCGCAAAAAGCCAGATGTGGTTGCAGCGTGGGACCATTGTGCGTGGGAGTGTCCTGATGCACCTGGACCTCCACAAGTGACCGCTCACCATTGCATCGACGGCTTGCAAAAAGGGATGGGGTGGCCGAGTGGTGACCCGAACCGAAAAGATGTGGACGTGGCTATTCACACGTGGCTCGCAACTCTTCGGGCTCGATGCCTGAATGATCGATACAAGTAAGACTTGACTTGGTGTTGAAACGAAACGGCGGGGTTGGATGTCTCCTCACCATCGACAGGCTCCTAGATGAACCAGTCACACACGTGTTGACCCTAAGGGCATTGCATGCCTGACTTAGGCGTGATTTCGGTAATAGAATTTGGTGCCCTGGTTCTCTCCCCGCGAGGGGCCGGTACAACTGAGGCCTTACATCCCCCGCGTCACTTAGGTGGCGCGGCAGCATGGCAACTCCCAGAGCTTTGCTTCGCAGCTGCGCGCTGCAGTTGATGCAACACTGGCGTTTTCGTTGGTGCCAGTCCAGTGTGGCCACCCCTGCTATTGAAAGTCTAAAGACAGCTTTTGAATCCAAAGTGCACACACTCGGGAAAAAAAGTACGATCGGTCTGAATGCCACATACCACACGGAAGGTTGAGTTAATAAATGTTTCAATAAACCAGGGGGTGTGCAAGACGGTCCTCGAGAAGTCATCGGCAACTAAAAGTGTAAAAGTCAAGCCCAAACTTCAAAGTAACAAAGGCTCCAATCCGCGCTCGACTGCGCGTTTGCAGACCTAAACAATTTCGGTGGCTTAGGGAGTGCATATCTCCATTTGTGTGATGTCGCGACACAAAACCGAAACCTAAACCAGGCGATCAGCCAGTGAGTCGAATGCCCCAAGCGCTTGCAATACCATCACGGCACATTCAATCGAGATCCAGAGTGCTGCAAATACTAGCGGGTCAAGCACTCACACGCCCAAAACTTTGCAAATACTAGAGGGCCCTCCATCCGAAGCAAAGTCTTCGAGGGTCCCGTGCGGTTCGGCAGATCATCTACGCGTTCCTGAAACAAATTTTCCATTGATAAATACAAATGATGAAAATACGTGTTTCGCTGTTTTTTCCACAAACCGAAAGACACATGCTGGGCTTGTGGCGGTCGCTCAGTGGGTTGCGGGTTTGGGCATGCTGTGGAGAAGGGCTGGGTGCGATGCGATGGACGTTTCAAGCGTGTACGGGTGACTGAGGAGAATCCCTAGCTTCCACTCCAATAGATGAGACAAAGCTCCAGGACAGACGACTGCAACGACTGCATGTAGAACAACTCGTTACTGGGATTTACTGAGTGGCTGTCAATTGTACAAACGTAAAGATCTTGCGTCGAAGGCAAACCTAACCGCTGGCGGCTTGGCTTCCAAGCATTTGAAAGTGTCCTTGGAGCAGGCAGCGGCACAGTGGGATTTCCATGAACTCACAGATCCCCACCCAGGGCCTTCAGTTTTTAACATTTGGTTGACTCTGTACCGTGTCATCAAGGGGCTTAATTAAGTTCTGTTCTTTAGTACTGTAGTTTTCTTGGTCACAATAAATGAATATAAAATATATATATATATATGAATGAATATAAATGAGAGGCAAGTCTCCTCTCAGGTTGTAATTTGTAAAGCTACGTTGGCACCCCAAGCAGCTCGGCATGGCAGGCCAAGCAGCTTAGCAAAGGTGCGCCGATGGCCTCCAACAAAATAGCGATGGCCTCCGCCCTAGTAGCGATGGCCTCCAACTTAGTAGCGATGACCTCCACCCTAGTAGCGCCATGCAATGCCAGATCTTTTCAGTGCATTCGCAGCAGATGCCAGGAGCCGAGGTGAACGCCTTCGCCTTCTGTGCTTTGCAGAAAGCATTGGATGAAGGTTACTTAGGCACGGAGACTTTCGGACTCTATGATTTTTTTATGTCACTGAATTTGATGGCTGAATTGTATGGAGAACCCCAAGTGTTCCTGCGTTTTTGTGTTTGTTGATCTCCAGCCTGGCACTTGGACAGATGGGTTTCTGGGTCTTGCGGCTGTATTTGGTCGTCCGTCCATTTCGGATCTCCACCGCAGGTCTCGCAGGTGCTCAAGCAGACGAAGCTCTTGATGCTTTGCTGAGCTCGTCACTGTGGCAAGAGCCTACTTGGGAGGCCCAGTGGAGATTTTCACACAAAGATACGACAAATGGATAATGTTCTGTGGACGTGCTGGGAATTTTGACATGCTCACGGAAGCAGAACAAATGTCAGAATATGTCAGAATATCATGGACAAATCTTTTTACATGTCAATGCGGGGGCACTTAGCATGTGTACCGTACTCCTTCAAGTTCCCAGACGATCTGTGCAGAGTGCCATTGGACGGATGGCAGGACTGTCCCCAAACGCCCGAGTGCATGTTCCCAAAGGACCATTCTAATGTGTGTGTGAAGATTGCCAGGCCATCCAGCCAAGTGATTTACGGGAGCAAGATTCTGAGAGTGAGGTTTGCTGATGCCAAGCAGCACATGTGTGGCTAAGATTGGAAGTGAGAGTCCAAGAAGCTACCAATGGCGGTGGTGTGCTCAGACTTGGTCAGACTGCTTCAACTGACATGCGTGCAGTCTTCGGTGCATGCAAATGTCAGATTTGCAGGCCAGCAGCGGCTTGCCACACAAATGCAAAGAGCTTTGGAGGCTTCCTTTGCTAGCAGAGACTGTCATGGTGTTCCACTAACCCAGAGCATCTCAAAATCCCAGATGCAGGTTGAAGGTTTGTATTTGTTTGCACGTGTTGATAATGCTTATTGCAAGAGTGGTGGCACTCCGCAGTTGATTTGGTCACGCCCCCGGCTTGCAACGTTGTGCACATTACAACATCGCAGTCTAATTTAATTGGTCATCACACACTCAACACAGCAACGGTTCAGCTGCAGCCTTTTGCAAGGCGCAGGAGATAATATGCTTCTCTCTCCCTCTCTCTATATACTGTGTATATATATATATATATGTACATACATGTAGTGTGTCCTCTCTCTCTCTATATATATATAGATGGAACGTTGTACGCGGAGATAGCACAGTTGGGAGGTTCCAAAAGACAGAGTACTGGCAGTACAGTTTGCGCCTTTTGTATTTTGATTCTGATGTATGTTGTCCAGGTTGGACGCTGTGCCGTTGACCTAGCAAACGCCATGCGGCAATCCAACATCAACACACTGCAACAAGCCTATTCAAAGGCCAGGTTTCCGCAGGGACGGCTAAAGACAGAGGGAGAAGGACAGATAGAGATCGAGAGAGTGAGAAGTGGATCAAAGAGATTTATGATCAGAATCAGAGTGACTGAGTCGCCTAGTTGAAGGCACAAAGCATGGTGCCACATTGGTCACTAGCTTTGGGTTGGGTATGTGCAGAGAGCCGTTGAGAAAGCAAGAAAATTGTTGTAAGCAAGACTACGAACGAAAGGGGTGTCGCCGCCTTAATATCAAGATTTCTACACAAGCGATAGGGGCCAACCCGGTTATTATTTTGGCACAGCTGGTTCGAGCATCGAGGCACTTGAATTGGATCTGCAGGGCTTGGAGAAAGTGGAGCAAAGAATCAGTAGCCCTTCGGCCTTGTTTGTGCTTGTACTGCCGAAGAAAAAACGCGTCCTTTTGTGACCAAAGAATATCAATACATAAATTATCAATAACAATTAATGTCAGCGTCAATTTAATTTCAATGCGCTCCACGGATGTTTGAGGTAGACGAGCAAGGACCTCAACGGCGGTTGTCCCAGCGAAGGTAAACGAACGAAATGCATGCAGCTGTTGGCCCTGTTGCCAACGTACACTTGCTTGGTCGGATGTCATGGCTTTGCTGCTGGATGTGTGATCCATTTGCAGTGCCACTTTGAAGCCGAGGTAGTGTTGCAGAGACCAAATGCTGCTGTCATAAGGAGCTGGGTATGACTTGGGTAAAGGATCTGTCATATCATACAAGTACAAAACAAGGCCTGTGAAGACAGGTGAAGACTATTTACTTGAAGACTATTGTTTTGAGGGTGATCAAAATTGCAACTAGTGCTTTGTAGTTGAGATCGTGATGCTTAATTTTTTGTTTGATGAACCTGTTGCATCAACACTCACAAGGAACCTAGACCTCACTGGCAATCTTTGGCTTTGACTGTCTCTCAGTCAGAACACAAAGTTAGTTTCGCAACATCCTTCCATTGAACCAAGAACTTCCTTCCTTTGGAGAGCAACAGCCTCCTGCAATGTCTTGCGTTTTGAAGGAATCTGGACAAACAGCAGCAAAGCCCGGCACACAATTTGCAAAAAGCATGCTTTGCTCCATGGAGTTCAGATCTTTTGCGGGCCGTTCTTTTTGGCGGGCGCACAACAGATGATTCTCCTAAGCTTTCTTGAAAAAGACTCGCGCAATCGAAGCGGTTCCCGGATTTGAGAAACTGTCTGTTGTGCAAACAATTTTCAAGGTTGCCACCCGAATCGCCTTCAACGCTGCTTGGGTGGATTTGTTGAGAGAGAGAGAGAGCACACCCGTGCCGAAAAAAATTGCACTGTATGCTCGACAACATGTTATGATGTTGCAATGTGGTTTGGGCTGGTGCTTATTTGTTTTTTGGGTGTGTGTTTTGCTGAAAATTGGTGGAGAACCTGTTGGCTGCAGCTTGCAACTCTTCAACCAATTGCAACTCTTCAAACATGTGAATAGTTGATCTTTGTTGCACACTTGCTGGTTGTGGAAGTGGTACTGCGAAACCAGGATGCGGTGGAATCCAGTTCAAAGTAATTATATTATTCAATTGTTGTGCCTGGTTGCGGGTGAAGTAAAATGTGGCCACCTTATGCCTAAAGAGTCTAGACAGTCTAGCTTATATTCGCTGCCTCTTCTTAAGGTCCTGAAGATCATATGCAACTTTTTTCAGCCGGAGGCTACGAAAATCAGGCGCATTGGCACTTTTGGGAGACTGAAACAAGCATGTTGAACAAGTAAAGAGGAAGTGCCAAAGGATCCAACATGACTGAATGTCATACGAGTACTGTATATTGTTGGTATAATATGGTACGGTATAACACCTTACTGCCCGTGCCAGGCAGCGCGATCGCGATGCACGCACATGATTTTTTGTGACTTAGAGCTCACGGCTGGCTTCTACGACTTTGAAGATGAACCTCGAATCCTTGAGGCAGGATGTCACTCTGACCCGCAAGCAGAGGCATAGACATAGAGGTGTCGGAACGTTTGCGTGACTTTGTTTTGGGCATCCAAAAGAAAGTCACGGAAGAGACACTCTCAGCCAATTCTTTTATGCTTTTTGAAACATCGAATGCACGAAATGGGTTTATGGAGCCATATAATGGGCTTATGAAGCTGGATAGGAGGGAAAGGAAGGCAAAAAAAATGTCACAGAATGTTGAATGGAGCCGAAGCGTCCAAGCTTTTTGAGAGTCGCGCAGGTTCTTCAGAGGGAGGCTGAAGCATGATTAGATATGATTAGACCCTGACATTACGGATAATTGTAGTCATACTAGGACGAAAGCTTGCCAACGACATTTGCGTGTCCCTCAGATTGAAACCGTTAATGACTTCTGGAAGTCAAGTCTTTAACCTGAAGTGCATTCAATTCCTGTAGACTATAGATTAGTTACTTTGGGGTGGAAATACCCCCGCTTGCATTCCACTGTGCACCAGTGCAGGATTCCACTGGGAAACGGTTGCAGGTCATCTCCCTGCATTCATTGATCATTTTGTTCTGTTTGTATGCATTTCCATTTCCATTGCCTTAGAACGTCTCTCTTCCGTGGCGTCTTTGCACCTAATTTACACCCCTCGCAGTCTCTGGGTTGAAGTCCGGTCCCTGCTTAGCCTCCAGATTAAACTCAGCCATCAGGTTCTGAACATAGTCAGAAAACTCTTCAGGGTGGGACTTCAACCCAGAAGGCGGCAGCATATGGTGAAAAACTGCCGCAAGTGCTTTACAAAGGCCAGCTGGGTAGGCCTTGAGCTTGGCAGTGGCCCAACTGCCATCTGCCTCTCGTCCAATTGCCTGCGCTCGTGGCAAGGCTGTGCTTCTATGTTGAAAGAGGATCTTTTCAACCTCTTGACTCACGTTGGTAAACATCAGCTTTGTAGGCTTTGGAGTGTAGCCTCCATAGTAGCCTTGGAGCACTCTCACCACAACACAATTGGCGAATCGCAACAACCATCGGATGACGCTCAATCGCCATATTGATGCAACTCGTGGATCTTCTGGATCATCTTCTGGGTGCTCAAGGACTCCAATGGCCCCGCTGAGGATGGCTGCAAACATGAGTCGCAAAGCTACCCCCAGCAAATCACTTCCCATCATGACCTGTAGTGCTTCCTTTTTGGTCAAATCGTCAAGACCATATGGTCTTGCACCTGTCCGAACAACGCGAGGGTGTCGTCCGCCAGGCACTGCCACTGCTCTTGCTTTAGACCAGGTTTCGCACGGAGGACCGCAAACGAATCCTCGGATCCAGCCTTTGTAGAGTGCTTTATGGAAAAAGCGGAATGTATCACCTCGTAGGAGGTTTCCTCGCTCGGAATCGAATATGATATCGATGGATAAAGTGCAATATCCCAGCTCTTCTAGCGCACATTGCAGATCTCCTTCCCTTCGGTGTCCTGAAAATAGGTGCGCAATGAATTGCACATCGAATTCCGGCAGCTCAGGCACCTTGGCACATATCGTCTGAAGATCTGCAGCCATCGCATCAAATTGGGCCATGCTGTGAGCATCATCATGTTGTCGTTCGACAGCAATACCAAACCACTCAGCACAAAAACTTGCTTTGTATTGTTGTACTACTTGCAAAAAGGCCAAGCTCGTCGTCTCATGCTCATCTGCCCATAAATCGCTCCAAGTACAGAAAGCCTCGAGGACATGTTTTGGAAACAATGTCGTTTCCATTGTCTACCGGGCTTCTAGGAGTAGTTCTGGCACATCGGATGTCTGTACAACAGCCTGTTGCCATTGTTGGTATAATAGATTTCTTTCCTGCTGCTGCACATCGAAAGCATCCTCTGGAACAACAGGAAGAGACCGTGGGCCCTCAGCTTGCATGTATGCCATGTGCCAATCAGTGAGCCTCTGCGTGGCACTCCTACTGTTCACTCCAGGCAGTGGATCCACCTGTTGTCCTCGAGTGAGATAAAATGCTCGGTCTTAGTATGGTTTACTAGATCGATGTTGGTCGCATACAATTTGAGGCATGACTCGCATTGGTTACCAAGTACGAAGTGCCTCATGTCATTTTTCCGTTCATGAAGCTTAAATGCATGAACTGACAAGGCTGCTGCACTTGCGAAACCCTTAGCACATTTCAAACAGAAATGGCCAGCATCTTCACTGGCCCGCGACAAGGGCATCCAGAGTCCAGCATTTTGTGCTTCTTGGGCAATATCTCGATGCCATCTGTTCCATGCTGCGATTCTTTGGCGTGACGAAACGGCCCTTTTGACTGCCCTACGAATGCATGCCTTCCATTTCCCCGGTGACTCTTTGAGGCATATTGCAAAATCGACCCACGTATCAGCCGTCAGGGTCGGCAGATCAATTTCCGGGCAATAGTGTTTCAGCCATTCAACATCGAGGACGAGTTTGTCTCGCCATGTTCCCTCCTCTTGAATCAATGCCCACAAATGCGGAATACCTTTGCAGACAAGCTGAAGGCAAAAACGTAACCGCGCTTCCGTGAGAAATCCGTGAAAATCAAGAACTCCCAGTTCGCAGCGTACTTTTTCCGCAGTCCATTTCTGCGCACATGGTCCGAAATGCATGTAGGCAATGCGTCTAAACAGCTTGGTGTGGCCTTTGCTGAATGCATTCCACTCTCGCTTTGTCTCTGGCAACCAACATGCTGCGTGATGGTGCATTGCGCTTATGATCAAACTCTGCACATATTGCATTTTGGTGGCCAGTGCCATTGCTTTGTTCGAGAAGATCTGCTGGCGAAACTTCGTGAGTGTGTTATGTGCCGCTGCAAATCTAACCTTTAGGTCAAGGTTAATCTTAGCACCGATACGGATCCAAGACCCTAGATGTTTATATGCCGGCACCGCCCGCAAATGCTGCTCAACAAATCTTGAGTTCGTTTGAACGAGGTAGCCTGCTTGATGTAGAGTTCGCCGAACAGACATTGCAGCCTCCTAGAAAATACACCGAGCAACAGCAGTGTGGCTCCCAATGCCCAGATACCCAGACAAAAACGATCAAAACACTCCGTAGAGGAAGACACCACGGCGAAAGGTGACAAAAGCTTTTGATGGAAAGAAAATAATGAGGGATGCTGATGTGGGAGGAAGGGAGTTGTGCTAGCAGTTGCTTTGTTTGCAGAACATAAAATGCTGAAGTGTCCTTGGGACAAATTCCGGACTCCAGGTGGCGATCATTGTCACAGACCAAAATCTGAAAGAGCTTGGTAGAGGGCACTGGGTTGGTGGCTCAAAGCGAGCTCTGGAAGGTCCATGAAGGTCCAAACATAGTGTACTTTCAAGATTCGCAAGAAACATATAGTGAGATTCGGAAGTTGTTGAGGTGAGCCAGATTCAGATTAGAAAGTCGATTGACAGTTTGATACTGTAGACCAAGTTGGGCTAGATTATGTTTTTAAAGTAAATGAGTATGTTTTCGGCGAAGATTCTCACTGAGGTGCTTGGTGGTTTCAGCCGACAAGAGCTGGAGAGCCTCGGAGACTTCCACAAGGCATTCCTGTGAACATCACAGAATTGTCTCAGAAGACTAGTGACTACAGTGACTATACAAACATCTGAGCAGCTGAGCAGCTGGCTGAGTCGATCAAAAGCCGCAGCAACGGCCGTCCTCGCAGGACAACTTCCGAGATTCGGACCCAGGAGGAGACTTTCCGCCGTTGGAGAATCAAATAAGTCCGACCGTTGGCCGTTGGGGGACTCCGGACGCAGACTCCGTTTTGACGCACGAAGATGGTGGGAGATGCCCCATATGTTCGTCCTGCCAGGTGACTTCAGAAAACAGCATTTCACTGGTAGTAACAAGAAGCTATTAATTTAAGTTTAATAGCAAACATTGTTACTACTAGTAAGGCACCTGTTACTACTAGCGATGCCCTTTGCTCCTAGTAGCTTCCTATCATAGGTTCATGGGTCATAGGGATGTGATGTAGAGGTCCGCGGTATAGATGATGGTCTCTTCCGTCAGTAGCTTGATTTACGCATTGCCGCAAGCATCATGTCCAAAGGACTGCTTTGCAGGTCCATGAGGCCCCAACTCATATACTATAGATATCTGTAGATCTATACAGAGTACTTTGCTCGGTACTTGCATCTGAGGTGGAAATGGCCTGTTCTCTGACGTGCTGAAGTCAAGGCGTTTCCCTTGCGGGCCGGTGTTCAGCATACTCTCTCACAGAATCCCCACTGCTGCTTTGAATTGGCCATCGTTGCTTCCCTGTAATATCTCTATCGCTTATGCAAGATCATGCCTTTTGGTCCTCGGTCAGGTTGTCCTTGGAGGAAGTGGAATCGGAGATCATGGAGCTAGTGACCAGGACGGCCATGGCTGGAGAACCACTTCAATGATCTTAGATGTTCAATCGAGTTTGAATCTTGGGTAATTAATGCACTTGCCAACGAAGAAGTTCGACTATCGTCGATCATGTCATTCTTGCATTTCGTTTCCATCAAGATTGGTAAAACTTCACTCACATGTCGAGAGGCACTGCCCTGTGGGTGAATGCCCGTTGGCAGTAGCCTCAGTACAACTTTAGTCTGATCTCCACGGATTCCCTGGCAGGCATATCCAGCAGGATCGGATTGGAACAACATAGGAACATTGGGAATATCCGGTCAATCGTTTCAGAAAGAGTCGTGCCACTTGCCATTTAAAGCGGTTTGGACGAAATGAAACGTGACAACTGAAAAAGCACAGAAACTATTCGAAGACAACTGAAGCGTGACAAGTCACAAGAGGACACTCTGCATAGCTTTGCTACGCTTTGCTACCATAAGGTCGGATACTCTGTGCAGTGTGACCGCGAGGTGCTCAAGGACCAGATGCCGAGGCCTTGACTTTCATGAGCAGGGCGTCAATCTGGCAGCAGGTTCTGTTTGCTTGCTTGCTTGCTTGCTTGCTTGCTTGCTTGCTTGCTTGCTTGCTTGCTTGCTTGCTTTGTGTTCAAAGCTACTATATAATATGTTTTTGTGTGTTCTCTTTTTGTGGCCCCGGGGGGTACGCCACTATAGGACGAGGTAAGCTAATAGCTATTAAGTAGGATGCTCCCAGGTAGGACGCAGGATAGCTCACGCTTGCACTATTCATAGTTTGGTTCCTAGATTTTTAGGACACCAGGATTGCATAATGGCTCGGGAGTTTGGTGCCCCGGGGGTGGTTTTACTTGCATCCATTTATGCATGGTGATTTGTTGATCGCATAACAAATCCTTGCAATGTGGCAACGTGTTGCAAGTGCAGTGTACGCGTCAAGCGCAGTTGAGCCCAACGGCAGGTTTTACAGGCATTTGAGCCATCAAATCGTCGATGAACTGCTGACATGTTTGTGGGGATAGACCCATGCTGGTGTTGTTTGCATGCTTCCTATGCTTTCAGACTTCAAGAGATTGAGCACCAGGATTCAACGACCGCACAAAAAGATATCAAAAAGATATCCTTGCTTTACATAGAGTTGAATACTCTTTCTGCAACTTACTTGCAAGTGGTCACAGCTTTTGTCCCACAACTTGTGCCCAGGTCTCGGGCTTTTTCACCATTGGCAAAATGTGGATCGACGGATGGTGTGTCGGAGCCACAGCAGACAGCTGCGGACAGCTAGAGCGACAGCCACAACCTATTAGCGATGGCCTCCAACCTGGTCGTTGTGTCCCAAGGAGCGCAGATCCACCGGCTACAACCATCGAGCTTTGAATGATGTGGAGGATGCCATCGAAGCGATGGGTTGCGTCCCCAGGTCTTGATTTTTTTTGACATGTACTGATAGCATTTCATAGACCTTTGCATACGTCTTTTTAATCGTGTTGGAAGTCTAAGTCCCCGGCTTTTTGAGTTCAGCTCTTATTATTTGCTCAACATGTGAGATGGTCTTTACTTTTGTCGATGAGGATGGCTCCGCAAAAATTTGTTCCCGCCCTCGATGGTCCGGAGGGCTAAGCTGGCTAAGCATTTCTGGCGAGTGCTGCCAAACAAGCTTGGAAGCTGACTGGATCAATGGTGGAACTCCTACATCAAATTGCACGTCAAAAAAGAAGGAACTCCGAAGTGTTTGGCAAAGGGCTTGCGGTTTGGACAAAGAATTGCCAAGATTCGCTGCATGATCTGCGCCAGGCCAAACAAGTGTCTCCTCTTCGGTGAGCAAGCTCTCAGAGCCTCGCGTTGATGGCGACCCACTCACTGCAGCTGGCCAAAGAGCCAGCTTGACACGAGCAGTCCAAAGCTGCCTTTCGCTAGTTGTCATTACTTCTTTATGGATCGCTTGATCTCAAAAAGATTGCGAGAACCAAAGGAATGACAGCGGCAGCGAGGAAATTAGTAATTAAAGGGAAGGGAGGGAGGAAGGTCCAACACTACATAACACTACCAAGTGCCAAGGGGCACAACAGCACAACAGCTCCTGTGCACTTCTGTGACCTTCGCTCTGCATTCTGCTCCTTTACAGTCAAGACAACGACTCGTTCTCCGTCAACGCAGACTCCACCCCAGCCCTCACGCTAGTTGACCGCACACATCAGCGCTGTGGACCGCTCCTGACATCGACACTGCACAGTCTGCCTGCCCGTGCGTTTCATTCAATGTGTTTTCGGCCGGTGTCCCCTCTCCTGCTGGTCGACGTGCTCCCGCATCCTATCCTGTGAGCGAGACAACGATGGCATCAGACCCCAGGACCTGCAAGTCGTCCCACGGACACTTGGTGGACAAACCTGTCAATGAGCTTAATTAATGTCATCGTGGCATTGTATTGTTTGATATTGTTTGTATATACATGCCGGATGTGTGCAGCGGTTGCCAATTCTGACCGTGCATGTCCTTGTACGTCGTGTTGAAGCACGCGGAGTTACTTGATTTTACGGGTCCTGCCCATTTGTTGACAGGGCACGTTTTGTCAGCACGAACCCCGTCACAATGTGTTCCTCGACCTTTTGTTCAAACCAGATGATGCCCGTCATGGCCACCTCCAAAGTATGCCCGTGGACTGGACTGTTTCGGACTTGGTGTTGCGCCCGTCAGACACCTGCGCTCCATGGGCTTGACACAGCGGCCCCCCATCGCTGGACGGGCCGACTGCGATACGGTCGACCTTTGGGACACCGGCCACGCGCCCGCGAGGTCGGCGAACCACGGGGTTTGCCTCTCTTTTGTGTCAACTGTGCATGCGCCCCAGTCTCAGCAAATTGTCCCTCCACCCAGGAGCGTGCCCTCACTCATCTCGCCTTGTGGGTGGCACAAGGAGACCTGTCCCATACGAACAAAGTAAGACGTGCATTCATTGGCAGTCTTCGAAATGCCTACTGAAACATACCCCTTGCGTATCACTTCATTTTTCCTCTAGGTGAACCCCTTTCATGATTATGATTAAAAAGTAGATGACCTCATATATGGCAGGACAACTTAGCCCGATTCAGTAAGGATTCTGCATTTCCGTGTTGTTCCTGTTGAGCCTGTTGATCAGGAATTATAAACACATCGTGTTTTTAATGTGTTGTTTAATGAAATCCGTCCAATGGCTCAAACGGTTTAGCTTCTGCAGTGCAGAACTTGAGAAAGCGTATTGATCCGAGTCACTGCGCCTGAGATGGTTCTTGCACATACAGTACCGTATAGATGGCATCAACGAACATCGCTAAAATAACATCTAAGCCGCAATGATTGATATTTGCAGCCCGCAAAGATGGCATCCAGTCAACACATGAAAGAGCATTTAAACATGCTATCTATGTAGTAGGGCAGGGCATGGCATGGAAGAGAGAGAGAGGGGAACTGCAAAAATAAATGCATAAGGCACACTGGGTCCTGGCCACCAAGGCCCACAAAATGATTGTAAGGCTGGGGCTGAGTCCTGGCGACCACGGCTGGCTCACATTAGGAAAAGCGTTACTGCTGCACCGCCGCGACCCTCGCCAAGCTCCGCGACCCTGCCCGGCGGACAGCCTCCCCTCACATTCCGCTGCCGGCCCCGCCCGTGCTCGGGCGCGAGGCCGCGGGCTTCGGCGTCGACCACGTCGGCTCCTTGCCAACCTCCGCCGAGGTCGCCGCGGCGCCGCCCCGCGCCTTTCCGGCTGCACACCGGAGCACCTCCGCGTCCTGCTCGACAACGCGGAGTCTCTCGACCTGCTGTGCTTTGCCGGCCACTTGGCCCGGGCCGAGGTGCCCGCGACCGGGTGGGCGCTGTCTTCGGCGCGCTCCAGGCTGCCTTGCGCGACCGCGTCAACGTGCATGTGCACTTGGGGAAGACCAGGGCTTGGAACGCCGCAAACGAAGAGCCCACCGCGGTTTTGGACGCGCTGCCTCCTGACGCCCGGCCCACCACCTGGGCTGGCCATTGGGCTCAGCCCCCCGACGCCCAGGGCATCGTCGTGCTGGGCACCCCCCTCGGCAGCCCCGCGTTCGTGGCCAGCCAGCCACTTGCGCGATGTGGAGCGGGTCCCGGCGGTCCCTGCTTGCAGTTGGCCTGGCTGCTCCTCCTGCTCTGCGGCCTCCCCCGCTGCAACTTCCTGTTGCGCGCACTGCCCCCGGCGGACACGGGCGCGTTCGCCGCGGCCGCTGCAGTGCTTCACTCGCCTGCTAGGGGCCAGCGAGCGCCCCCTCCGGCCTGGCCCCGGGCACTGTCTCCCAGGCCCAGCTCCCCCTGCACGTGGGGGGGCTTGCACGTCGGGGGCTGGGGCTACGCTCCGCCCTGGCGACGCGCAGCGCCGCGCACTGGGCTTCTGGGCGGACTCGCTCTCCGTGATCGGCGCGCGGCGCCCCCGCCCGCGGTTGGCAGCGCGCCGCCACCGCCGCCTTGGACAGAAAAGCCCTTGAAGCCAGAAGGTCGCCGTCGACGTATCCCCGGTCGCCAGGGATGGCACGGCCCGCGCACGCTGCGCCGGCGAACCTGGGGCCGCCGCAGCCGACGCCGCCGCGCGCAAGCGCCGCGAGACCTGTCCCGAGTTTGCTCAGGCTCCCCGGGGCGACGAGGGCAGCCTGGCCACTACACTGCTGGAGCTTCCGGAGGAAGGGGGCGGCGCGCCGCCCTCCCCTGCCGTTCCCCTGTACATAGCATCCTGCCGTCTCACCTGTCGCTCGACGCGGGAAAAATAGAAAAAAGATTGAGCAAAACTCCAAAGAATGAATATTTACTTTTTATTATAGGCCCTCTTCGAAAAAATTTCTAGACAAAAAAGTAGAACAAAGCATCGGAACTTAAGATATTATGAATTTGCTCGCCGCAGGCGCATAATTTATCTACTGCGCAGTTTGAGCCATGAGGTTCATTCCATGAGGTCACAAGGACGACACACACAAATCGCAGACTTTTGCAGTTCAGAATTGCCCGCATGGTAGCGGAGCAAGGATAGGGATTCTTAACGCCTCCCTTGAGCCCCAACGGACTTTGGGAGGCGTGACCCTACCTCCACACGCGCCCCGTGATCTCGATCGCCCACGCCCAGCGACCATAGAACTAGTGTTGCAAGGTTGCTCGCAATCAAAGCCTGGGAGTTCCTTGAATCTGACCCTCACCCACATGGAGGACTTTGACATAGCCCCTGAGGAGTTCTTGTCGGCCCTACCCCATAATAAAGCCCATAAAGAAGCTGGCGCAGCGGTGAACATCTTGAAGGATGGATGGTTCAGGGGTGGCTATGATGTCACAGGCCTTGGTATGGCAGAGTTGGCTCAGGCCTTGATCACCACGGCCCAGGCTGCCACTCAAGCAGCCCAAGCAGCTAGCCAAGGTCAGAGCAACAGTGCAACGGAGAGCTCAGTTGACTAGGCTGGGGGAGAACATAGAGAATGAAGTTGATTGGGAACTCATTGATCCCGAAGAGCAAGAACGTGGACGCTTCTTGTACAGTGTACAGCTTGTTGGGAAGCTTGGTACAGGGCAGGTTGGCCATGAAGCTCTTCGACAACTTTTTTGTGAACAGCCAGCCCAAGGCCAGAAACCGCGCGAACTTGCAGCAAGGAATTATGGCGTATCCCAACTTCAATATGAAGCTGTCGATCCTCCCCCAAGATCCTGAAGCGGGAAGAACACTTTGCACAGTATGACAGAAACTGGGAGGAAAACTAGCGCCTGGCATGAAGTCAGCAGTTCTCTTACCTGACCTTGAATGAACGCAGCAGTTACAACAAAATCCGTGAGACCGTGCTGTGCTTGCCTATGACACCGCGAACACCCGTTGGAATGAGAGTGCAGCTTCCAAAAGGGTTGCAAAGGAAAGGAGCAGAAGAGCAAAGGCAAGGGCAAGGGCAAGAGCAAAGATGACAAAAACAAGGGCAAAGGAAAAGGGGGCAAAGCTTGAACACCAAGCGTGACCAGAAAGGAAAGGGTGGAAAAGACCAGCGAGGAGGCAAGGGAAGTCCTCGAGCGCTGATGTTTGCTGGGCTTGTGGGCGGCCAGGCCATCATTCAAAGGATTGTTGGCGAGGTCGACTGATTGAAGGCCCACCAACACAGCAGATCCCTGCCTCTACCACCCAGTCGACGGTGCCTCCATCCTCGGCAACGACTTTGTCCAGTGGTGATGGAGCTTCATCGAAGACCACGTTTCACAACCAGTTTTCTTTGACTTGAGGCAGGGCAGTGAGACGTCAGGTGCAATTCGTTTGGTGAAAGCCTTGGAGAAGCGAGGGCGAGCCAGAGTAAAGTTATTTGACATCTTCACTGATGATGAGGAGATGGGGCAGGCCATTGGCGATGACCTCTATGCGTCGGTCGTCGAGGGTCCCCACCGCGACGTTAAGGTCGCGAACAGGCACATGCGCCGCGACTGTGGCGCCAGCCTCCTGGCAGACCCGTCCTGAAGAAGGGCGTCGCTCCACTCACCTTCTTTCCACTTTTCACCATTGAGCCCTGCGCCAAAGTCCACGATGATGGTCGCCTCATCAAGCTCTGTCTGGCCGCCTGTCTCCATCCATGTCTTCAAGGATGACATGGACTGACAGTTTCTTCTCTTCTTGGTCCTGAGGGGTGGCGCGCAACTTGCCGTCGACACTACCCTGGTCTCTCCGCTCACCGCCTATGGCCACAAGGATGCTGACATCCAACTAGCGGCTGAAGATGGAAGGGGGGGAAGTAGTCCCACTTTATCGTTTGGGAATTTTTTGAGAAATTGTTGGTCAATTTGTGGAGGCGACCAATGCTTGGTGAATGGC